TCTGATTTCAAACACCTTTGAAGATTATACGATAACGGTACGAGGGAGATTAGTTATCGAAGGACAATCACAACAATACATTCTATTGAAATTCATTGGTCTCATCGAATTCACCACTTCTAATGCGATTAAATGATCAAACTCAATTGATTTCCATTGTTATTGTCAATGGCCTTCATTCAACTAATTAAATGTATCGTGATGTTTCCTTCTATAGTAGTGTCGTGTCATTGACTCTTATTTCTCCAGCCTTTATTTCAGAACTTTCACTGGTTAAATATTTACGTCAATTCCCATTCATTTCATTTAATGAAGTACTTTTTGTAATCCACTACTGAGACGAGTGCTAGTGACTCATTGTTTTACTGATATCTACGTCGTGCTCACCGTTCTTAACTGTTTCTTCGTGTGTAACTCTGAATATGAACTATTCTTCTCACTTAGTTACTCGTGTAATAATGAATGTCTTCAACGAAGAACTTCCGAGATTCGCTTTGAATATTTAAAAATACGTTTTTACTGCTTGAATACATTTATTACTGAAATCATTTTATCAATTATTCATTTATGTATTCTGGTGTTTTCCATATAAGATAACAAAGATTTTTCATTTTAAAGTGAAATGAAGTATTAACTTCTTGTGTATATGAACTGGCAAAGGAACCATCCACTACCGTAACATGCCATGACCTACCAAATGCTCTATCTAGAAATTCTTTTAGCTTTGTAGCAATCGATATTTTATTGTCGCATTCATATTCTTGATATAATTTTCTAGCTTCATTGCTGACATTGATTTGTTGTGGTAACATCATATCGCCAGAAATGTATTCAATATCTGAGCCAAGTTTAAACAATGCTGAATGTTGTTGAATTGTATTTCTTCGCATTTTTTCACTATAAAAAATATATATTAAAATATGGTTTGTATGGATTGAGAGAAGAATACTAATTTAGCAACACTGGTCGCTGTCCACTTAGGCAGCCTTAGTCGAGAAAATGAAATCAGAGTGAACATATGCATTAATGATCACGCGTAAAACAGGGTAGATGACTATTCAAAGTCTATCAGGATGTTATAAAAATTAAAACATCAAATTGATCAATATATTGAGGGACAACAAATTCACACATAGCTGAATTCTTAATGACTAATAACCTAGAGTCCCAATTGTTTGATAACTGTGGACTTGTGTGGATAAAGTATGTTTTGTGAGTGGATAACAGTGGAATGCACGACGTGCTTCATCCTATTTATGTCTCATCAGTTGAATGCAACACGATGCTAGTTTCGATACTCTCACTGAGACTCGAATACAAAGCCCTTCCGTTCAAGTATCGAACACATTATCCATTGAGCTGCTGAGGACAAATGGCCACCAATCTATTCAATAGGTATGGATATGTCGATTAAGTCTATAATTGGTTTTTGGTAATACACAACATCCCATTCATGAAGGTTCAGAATATCAACGACGCTGAATTACAAACATTTACCAGTATTTATAGGATGAATCACATCAGACAGACACATGAAACCGAAACCTGTTATGCTTTCGACCGAGCATAAGAGGCGATGAGAGAAAGTGTGATGATATTGGTCAGTTAGATTGTTCACAGTTAAGTTAACCTGTATGCAAGAAAGTAGACAAAACTGTTCTTATGTAGACTACCATTTCTCCGTCTCATTCTTACTCTTCCATATTTTCAGCAATCAATGTGAACTAGTTGTGCTTCATATGGTGTTCATAAGTTTTATATTTCTCAGTGTCCTGGCATAACACTAATGAAAGAACAGTCATGTGATTACAATCTGAAATGTACTCTTGAAAACAAATATCGATAAAAAGTATCTGGTACACTGACGATATCACCATATTGTTTTTTCACTCTAACGGATTCAATCAATACACATTAACTATGAAACTGTTAAAACTGAAAGTGCATACATTTAACAAAACTTACTATTCCTCTTTTGCAACACCTAGAACACTTAAAAACTTATTAAGTGTAATTTGGTTTGTTGTCTCTTCCGAAAATAGCTCAAACCATCTCTAAGTGGATAAAAGAAAGAGAATGTAAATTTATTTCCAAATAATCTATTCAACTACATGAAGATAAATTAATTAAAATAGACATGTTTAAATTGTGAAAATGTGGCTGAGTGAAACAGATATTTATTTAAGAGTGAATTGAATCTTCGATTGTTTAGAATATGAAAAGACGAGAAACCTGGTTAATCGGATGCGCGATTCCGACTTTTAATTCATGTTAATCTTCCTTCCACCATAGTTGTTCAGAACCTGATTTGTGTTTCATTAATTCACTCTGAACGTGATATATTTTTGCGAACGACTTTTCGAGGCTCTTTGATTCGTTTGTATCAACTGAATTGACCTAAGATTGTTAACAGTTTCACGCATGCGTTCGCTTAGTCATACTGAGATTACCGCTGAATGTGTAGTTCATCGGAGAAGATGGAGAATTGAAACTATTAATACAAGTAAGTGTTCAGTGTAATTCAACTCTCATTCTCAGTATCACTGTCGGACGCGTGCAGCTAATATCCAGTAGTTCACCATCTTCAAACGATCGTTGAAATACCCTTCAAGGCTTCAAAAATGACGATATACATTCTTTGATAAGAACACATAATTGAACTGTCGGCCTGTAGTAGTTCAGATAATTTGTTGGGGTCTAGACTGAAGTAAATGAAATCGATTCCTAATCTGTTACGCAGTGATTTTAAGGTGGATTGTGTTAACCGTCAGGATACTGATACAAATGGCATCAATCGAAAAATTACAAACACTAGACATCTTAATAAACAATATTATCACACATGCACATCTATTTAGATCAGTACATGTTGATAATCAAAACTTACTTGAACCATTCGATTACCCAGATGATTCTCTTTGGCGAATTTCTCTAATTCTTCCTTAGTGATAATCTCATCATAGTTTGTATCGATTTTTGAAAATACACTAGTAAAAGTTTCCATTTGTCACCACTTTTTTTAAATTATTCACTTTCTTTCTGTGCTATCTTTTACACGACAATTTACATAAAGTGATTAAACGATAGTGATCTGATTAGAACCAACAATAATGCCTAGAAATTATTGTAGAAAATAAGAGAAAATTTAGGTAAATTATCTTATGTCTATGTGAGCATATATATATATATATATATATATATATATATATATATATATATATATATATGTAGGGTCATTTAAGGTTACTGTATTTACAGTATAATCATAAGACCAGTCAGAATTATTATATTAGTACTAATTATCTAATTTTATTTATGTTGTTTTAATTTAGGATGGATCACTACATACTAGTCACTAATGACCAGAAATCACGGAAGTTTTCTACTGCAAATGAGACATCCTGGTTTTCAATGATTACCTAACTAAAGCCAATCCATAATGGAGATTATTAATGTTATGTTTGTCTCTTTAAATTAGTATAGAAAGACTGAGAACACTTCAAGATGTTGTGATTACAGCTATGTTTACGTGCAGTCAGTAACTCCCTTGTATATATTCCCGAATAATTTCAATTAAAAATTTAATTGGACATATGACTGTTATATATCGTAGTTTTTTTCCATCATGACTGACTGCGCTACATTTGACACCTCCATAAATAGATAGAGTGCTATTTCCGTCGTAGAAAACAACATATTTCATGTAGACCAGAAAAAACAACAGAAAACGAAACATGTTCTGCACGATGGACTACGAAAGTGTAGTTAATAATTACCACTTCATTTTCCTCGTTTGCCAGCAGTAAAGTCAAGATTGAGAAAAAGAAAATAGTTGATCTTCAGTCAAATAAACTAGGAACATTTTGATGAAACTCCCAATTCATAATACACAATATGTTAAGTTCTCAGGTGTTTTGAACTTAATTGTGTTAACTTTGGACAAAATAAACCCTTAACACATTATCGCATGTAGAGTACTCTTACATCTCAAACGAAAATTCATGCATGTGCAAAATGCGATGGTTTAATTATCGTATGTAATTATTTGTATTTTTCTTCCCTTTGTAAATTTTAATCAAACAGAGATGGCAAGCATTATTTGATCCAACAAATACTGGTATTATAACATTTCAAAAATTTTGTGATGTCCTCGGTGTAAAACCGGAACAAGCGTGAGTCTAGTCATTTTGGATTTTCTTACGTCTAGTTTTGACAAGAACTTACTTGAAGGGATGCGGTTTAAAGTATATTAAACTAACTATGTGAAATGTTTGATTCTGTGTGTAGTACATTTAATGATGAGAATATTTCTCTGCTTTTTATTAAGTCCAGATGAAATTTGTGAACAATACATGTAACATGACATAAAATGCAAGTCCATAAACATGTTCAACAAATTACAAAATTAACTAGAGCTAATCACCGCCACTTGACTGATTAGAAGTGAAAGCAGCCTAAACTTAAAGCCAGGAAACTGTGAGCCACCTCAATAAAATCTGAGAAATTGGTGTTATCGAGCAAATAATATTAAAGTATAAACCACGATGTGTCTTTTTCATCGTGAAAACTTCTTCGCTCCTAGCATTGTGTCAACTTATCCCTCTTGTTTATTCAGCTGCTTTCCCGACTAATATTGAGTTGTATTAGGAGTCACTTAAACATGGAAACAAAGCTTCAATTTACCATATGGATTTATCGATAGGATTTTCATGTGAAGAATAATCTAAAGTGAACTACGAATATATTACTGAGCTAAGTATCAAATGGGAACCTGTTGCCTAATAACTCTTAAACCCACGTCATATTCGACATTGGAAAGTGGAGCTTCATATACCAGTAGAGTTGGTTCGGGATTCGTTCTCTCAAACAACAAAATACTGTCTGTCAAACAAGTATAAATTGTAATTCATCATTTTATCATTTTTTTCAGACGTACTCTTCGGAAGAGTGTTGTCAATAACCGACCACTGCCGAAAGATTTACAAATAATCTCCCAAAATATGTCACCAGAAGATCAATTCCAAATATTTGAATTTGTTCGATCACTGTTAGATAAAAATTTATCAGGTCAAGATATGACACAAATGATAAAACAATGGCTTGATAAGACATTCGACCCTTCATGGCATGTTGTTATAATCGATGGTTCATATTGGATATCGTATTCACATTTACCTGAACAATCTCTACAATTTCGATTGAAAGAAAAGTGTTATTTAGTTTGGCGCACGCCTAAATATTGACATTGAATCAACAAAATTATGATAATTGCAGTTACGTAACGAGTATTTATTCGTAATTGAATTTTGTTTACCCATATTGTTGTTTAACCAACTGCATATATATACATATATATATCGACCCAAATGTCAAACTATCGTTTACTTTATTAAGTGTTCACCAAACTATTTTATTTTAAATCCTTCACAGTTTAATCACATCACAACACACACATCACGGTATACAATTTATTTATTTTGTTGAACTGTCATATTGATGTGTATGTGAGATTGAAACTTGAGCATACGACTTTGTGTCATGCATAGAAATATAACTTGAAAAATTTACTTCAACATACTTCTTTTACTGTTAGTTATTTCATTTTAAGCTGAACTAACGACCATGTATTGTTTATAGATTTACTTGATTGGAAGTATTCTGAATGGAACTTCATTCATTCAACATAACAGTGATCAGTACATATTCATACTATATCAATAATTTCCCATGATAAATATTTATGTATATGATTACAACGGGAACAAAATAGTAGAATAGCGATATCCATTAACTAGTATGGATCTGCTATCGATAAAACGTTCTTTGGAAGTCGTGTCAGCTATGAAATTAGAACTTCAATACTGCAAACCATATAGAGATTTATTGTTTCGGACATATGGGTGGTGGTATAGCTTGATTGTATAATCTAATATCAAAAGTGATGCATTTTAAAACTACTTGGTGCTCTATCATGATGGACTAAACTGCGAAATCGCGCATAGAGGACAATTGACAGACTCGTTCGAGGTAAAGACCTGTATCAGGCAAGGTTACTTACTCTCACCCTTCCTCTTTCTCCTGGTGATCGACTGGATCATGAACACGTCAAAATCTGAGGGCAAGCATCGGATACAGTGGACAGTTAGGATGCAGCTAGACGATCTAGACGTCTCAGATGATCTGGCCCTCCTATCGCACACGCAACAACACATGTAGGAAAAGACGACCAGTGTAGCAGCAGCCTCAGCAGCAGTAGGTCTCAACATACACAAAAACAAAACCAAGATTCTCAGATATCGGCGAAGCAAGAGCAGCATATTTACAACTGAAGAACATCTGGAACTCAAAAGAATTGTCAAACAAAATCAAGGTCAGAATTATCAGTACAAATGTCAAAACAGTTCTACTGCATGGGCGGAAACCTGGAGAACTACAAAAGCCATCATCCAGAAGAAACAGGTGTTCATTAACAGTTGTCTACGCAAAATACTTCGAATCCGTTGACCAGACACCATCTGCAACAACCTACTGTAAGAGAGTAGAAACTAGATCCCAGCGGAGGAAGAAATCAGGAAGAAGCGCTTGGAGTGGATAGGACACACATTGAGGAAAGCACCCAACTGCGTCACAAGACAAGCCCTCACTTGGAATCCTCAAGGCCAATGGAGGAGAGGAACACCGAAGAACACGTAGACCAAGAAATGGAGACAGACATGAGAAGAATGAACAAGAATTGGATAGAAGTAGAAAGTAAGGCCCAGGACAGAGTGGGTTGGAGAATGCTGAATGGCGGCTTATACTCGATTGGGAGTAACAGGCGTAAGTAAGTAAGTAAGTAAGTAAGTAAGTAAGTAAGTAAGTAAGTAAGTAAGTAAGTAAGTAAGTAAGTAAGTAAGTAAGTAAGTAAGTACGTCAGTGGTGCTTTATCGATTCTTCAATGCACAAATCTTGCGAAGACGATTTGTTACACAAACTCCACCGACCACTCAATTACTTGCGAGTTCATCCTGTCATTTACAGAGTGGATTCTGTCATAATTAGTCCAAATAATTACCAGACTGAACAATTCTTATAGAACACAAGAACGTCGGGAATTTGTATATCATAAGTAACTGAAATAGAATGGCACTGTAACAACACAAGACGAGGTTTGGTCGGTTACACTGAATGAATGTCATACTGAAGTTTTGTTGGGGTGCCCAAAAAGCAATGAGTACATCATTGTCAGCTAGTAATCAACAAACTCAAACACAGACGTATTTATTGGGACTATCAATAATGGAAGAAATAAACAGACAGCAAATCTTGCTTTCTCTATGTTAAACACTATAGTAATGATTCTGTCACATCAAGACACGTCCAACCGATATGTATATCCGGTACACAATTAGCAAATTTCTACTTAGGTTAGTATTTAAGATAGTAAATTAAGACCACGTAATCGGAAAACGGTGTTTGCATAATGTCCCCTGTAGATAACATATCATGCACTTAGCATTTGCTAGGAATAAAACATCAGTTAATAGACAATATAAATACAGAAAGGTGTACATGCAAATTAAAAACGGTCATCCTAATAAATTTATTTGTGAAACATATCAATACTACCGAATATCATGAACAGCATCGAAATGCTAGAAAGTATACAAAAGTCACTCAAGCACTTGGTCATTGTGTACCTTCACTTCTTTTGTGAACATTATGATTCCTTTCTTCGCTCGTCATTGTTATCTGACTACACATTTTCGCGAAAGTTTATTCACGATAAAGTACACATTTTCCTATCCTTAACAATTGAGTGCAAATAAAATTCAAATACATCAACACTACGTTCAAAATAATTGTCATGTTGTTAGGGATTTCTACAATCTAGATGATGTAGTTTAACAGACAATTGTAATCCGGATCGGGCGTTGATGGAGTTTCCTTTCACTCTCCAAAAATTCACCAATCACTCCACACAAATACACTCATCTGTATATAGATTTTATCTACATCGGATGATTAGTCAGGAAGTATCTTAAGTAACTGAGATAGTATGAAACCTGAAATAGAATGGCACTGCAACAAAACTAGACGAGGTTTGGTCGGTTACACTGAATGAATATCATACTGAATTAATGCGAACGAATGTTTCATTGACTAAACATCACACTGGATACATTTATGATCTCACGTTAAAACGTGAGTTTTAACAGTTTTGTAATGTTTAAAGTAAAATCAACCAACAACAATGAGTGAGAAAATTATGTATTGGAGGGAACGCAAACAAATTGCATTATTTTACACAGGTATACTTCGATTCCATGCTAAAATAATAGTCTTTGATCACTGATTGAAAGTATTCATATAGGATTCAGTCAGTCATCTTCACTGATTACAAGAAAAATACGGACCAGTTAAGAAAGCGTATTTGTCAAGAGAATATAGCCTATCGAAATTGTGTAATTATGGCTAATCAGAATGACCCAGACATCATAGATATTGGTGCATACGTTATTCGTGTGGGCTATTCACTCATTGATTATACTTTAAACATCCTTGCATCTTTACCTACTATAAACCTTTGAGTTGCCAAATTTCGTTTGAATTATTTGGTGTTTTGAGAATGATATGTTACTAGCTAGTTCATTCGTTGTCTCTTCTTTGAACTATTGTCGACGTTACCAACACAACCGAATGATTGTTGAAATTGCCTCCACCATTTTTAATCTAGTTACAGTTTTAATGGCTCGGGGAGTGGTCCCCTGAGAATACCACCTGTTTCGATCTTGGCACACGGGCAGTATCACAGCCCTCGCACAAATCGAATGATTTATGCGGCGCATATCTACTTGGTGCCTCCTAGTACAAATGTTTATCTTCAAATAATAATAATAATGATATTTAATGGTCGTAATCTTGACAGTGAACAACGGTTCAGTCTAGATTGAGCGTTCTATTCAGAGTGAAACTCATCAAATGCTTCAATATTAATATGTCAATCTGTGGAATCCGAAACACAATCTCAGCGCATATCACTCAGAATGTCAGAATGTTGTGCAATGAAATTTCCAACTTCGACAGACATTACTGCTTTAACGAGCACTGGTTACTATAAATATTTGAATTTGACAGTTACAAACAGGAAGTAGACTGCATTAAAATCAATTGCTTTGACACTTTTGATACGATATGATATGATAAATCGGTGTGAACATCTCACCACTACAAGAGATCTTCTTAGTCGTATGAGCAAATCAGTTCGTAGTTATAACATTTATCTGTACAGATGGCTTGTGGAGATAACTGAGTGTTTTTGAAACAGCGAGTCGACATGAGTTAGATAACCATTGCTGAGTTATACTATCGTTATCCATGAAGAATGGGATTTCAAGAAAATAATGTGAACAATAATCAATGGATTGGTCAGTGAGTGGTTTATATATAGATGGTGAATTGATGTATTGAGCGTGTTAATATCCATGGTTTTGATACCAGTGTAAAATTTTCGATACAACAACAATAATGTAGTGATGCGCATTCGAATATCATATGGAGAACCCATCCACTCAAGAGTTCACGTGTGATTTGTCAATAAGTGTGAACTGATATCGAAACTAGATCAATCGTTTCCTGTCGACTAACTTAAACCACCTGACAACTCAACATGGTAAACGTGATCTTCAGTCAATTAAACCAGTAACCACATTACAACTTGAGTGACGGAACTGTACCTGTACTAAATGGTGAGACGAATATGACATTGTTCACTAATCTGTGACCAATCATTTGTACAAGTCGAAACACCGTAGGACTTTGATGACTCTTACAACGTATCTCGTTTATCATTCTAGATATATTTCTACCATAACGACAAACACTTTCTAAAAGATATATTGACGGTTGGATTACGGTGATTAAACTAAGAACACAACCATGTTAAATGGTAGAAAAAGCACTTGGTATGAAAAGGGATTATTTGGATAGTCACTCAATGAACAATGAGTGCAGTGAATGTGCATTAATATGGATAGGTGAGAAGGCGTTCAGAAAAATTAACTACATGATATACAATATTTTTGATGGAATAATTGTGTTGTCTGCATTGTCACTGAGTGGTTACACCCGAATATAATTGGAACTACTACTAAACTAATTGTTTACTACTTTGATGTTAAATAGGTCATTCACAAGAATGTAGTGAAAGGTATTTAATCAATTTGAATGATATATTTTCAAATACCAAGCTGTCAAAATTAACTGATTATTTCTAGTGTGACAATTATTGTTTAATGTTAAATTACATTCTACAATTCTAGTCATGATGTGTTTAGAAATTAAACTATTGATAATTTCGTGTATATATCTGTTTATGTATATATACATTAAATCAGGTAAGTAACTATCAAATATAATCT